TAAAAATGAGCTGAAGATTCTTTATTTAAGTTTAAAAAAGTTACAAGATGCAACCAGGGAGAATGATCGTCGATTATTACCGCAAATTACCATTAGCGATAATGAAAAAGAAGAAACTAGTGCTCAGGTAACAGTTTACATTTTTTTTAAACAAACGTTAAGTGTTACTGGATGTTTAAAACTAATGAGAGATCAGAAAAAAGAATGATTATTGTTCAGGAATCCTGAAAAAAATTTGCTTTAAAAGTGAAAACTGTTAACGGTTTTTAGTGACAAATCATCCATCTATCTAATTTAAGTATTATTTATGCTATCTATTTGAATTTTACAGATTTTGAGTTAACGTCAGTTTTAATAACACTTACTTTTTGTATCTTTTTTTGTTTAAAAAGTTATTTTTTGTTTAGATAGTGAGACAGTTAAATTTTTTAGCTAACAGCATCTGACGATGAATTTGTCGCTGATGACCTAAAGACAATTGAAGGTAATGCCTGATTGTATTTGAAAAGCAACTGAAAATGATGTTAAAAATTCTATTTAGAATTATCAAAATATGACATATTGTTAGATGCCAGAGTTAGTAAGGTTTTTTGCTGAAGAAGAAAGATCTAAAAAATATGGAAAATTTATTTAAGAAACTGAAGGTCGTGGTGGGACGGTCTCAGGAAACATACCAATAATAGTTCCCGGGTTGACCTTACACCATTCAATGGCACTTCATAAACATCCATCGTTAGACAGTTCTTTAGCAAGAAGGTAAGTTTATTTTGACAGCGTTATTCCTTCTTCAAAACACTGGTTTTTCATTATGTTTAAAAATCATAAAAATCTGTTGCAAAATGGTTAAAGCCCTGAAAAGACGCTAAAAGCTATTTGAGTTCTTTATTATGAACTTCAACTCCCCAACTAAGGATAGGAATGTTTATGGTCAATTAAAAACTATATGAAAGTAGTACAGTAAGTAAATTATTTATCTAAGTATGGATGTCAGGAGGAGAAACTATCTGTTTTGTATAATAGTTGGTAAAATATTGTCATAAATAAAGGTTACGTTCATTTTTTGAATTGAAATTTCTTAAGATTGCGGGGCGAATATGGTGATAGTCGTTCACATAGAAGTTGGGGAAGCGAACGATCTGATGAGTTGTCAAGCCGTTCTTTCAGACGCTCAAATGGAACTTATAAACGTGAAAAGATGCCGGTGTCTGTCGGAATTATCACTGTTATTGTATTCATTGCTGCCGGTGCAATTTTGTTTGCAGTATGGGAAAATTGGAATCTGTTTGATGGAGCATATTATTCGTTTATCACTCTCAGGTGAGCAACACTAAAAAAGTGCTTTGCAGTTTTAGTGAGTTAAAATATAAACTTAAAGTTAAAAAGTAAAATTGTTGATTTTTAGTACGATTGGTTTTGGTGACATTGTACCCGGCCAAAGTCTGGGAGAAGGATCTCAGGAAAAGCTTATTGTATGCGCTTTATATTTACTTTTCGGTATGGCGTTGATTGCTATGTGCTTTAAACTTATGCAAGATGATGTTGTACAGAAAGCTCGATGGCTGGGGCAAAAGATTGGAATTATTGGTATGTAACTGTCCAGAATATCACTTTGTATTTCGAGTTCTTCCAGTTATTTGTTATTGATATTCTCTATTTTTTAGCTAGGTTAAATCTTCAGATTTTATTCTATTGGAATTGTCGATAAGACTGTTATATCATTTATCTGTTGTTTTAGTTAAAGAGGAGAAGTCTGACTCGGAATCAGACTTAGAAAATGAGGTTGTTCTTGAGGAGGATGAAGATGAAGACATATTATCTGAGGAAAGAACCGACCAGGTATAAAATGTTTGTCTTATTGGATGTTGTTTTTATCTGAATACTGAATGATAAGAACAAGCTAGATACAGTTTTCTAATTGCACTGCAAAACTACTGTTTAATGCAGGGTTAACTGAAAAAATGAAAATGTGGATGAAAGTTTGTGAAAATACAAATGGAAACTTTTACAGCACCAAAAAACTTCTAATTTTGCAAATATTTAAGTATCTAGCGCCATTTTATAGCTCTTTTATTAAGTGCTTCAATTTTCTTATTAACACCTGGAAACATGTTTGGAGCAATTTAATGACCCTTATTAGATACCAAAAATTAGCCAGGCTTTTGAGGTTCAGTAAGGTTACTATGCATTCATATTAATAAAATGCTGGTAAATTTGACTGAAAGTGCTATACATCTGTTATTGAAGCGTTGCTGATATTAGGATAAGCGTACAATGTCTAGTGAATCGTCACGACGAGACGACGACGATAGCCGAAAAGTGAAACGAAACGACAGGAGAACTCAGACAAATATTAGACGATGATAGCTGTATAAGGAGAAGAAAATGAAAAAAAAAA